TTTCATTTCTTCATTAAAACAAATGAAGCTTTCTAAAAATAAAGCTTACTAATCTTTCAATGAATATTTTCTTAGCCAGCATGGTTTGAGCTCTTACATGTAATTAAGATGAATGACTCTCTGTCCCATTAAGGATAGTTTCTATTTCACACATTTTCCTAATTTCTCTGTTCTCTCAGTCAGTATAAAAGGGAAGGTGTCCATGTGACTTAGGAAAGCCAGCACCTCTTGGACTGAAGTGTGCTTATTCACGTTCCTTTGGAGTGTGCTGGTGGTGAGAATGCCCATAAAACATGGTATGTGTCTGATATACCTTTTCTAATACAACTGCAGACAGTTACAGACATACAGATATATGGATAAACATTGTCTAATTTCTACAGGAATGCACAGGATAAATATATCATATAAGATATGACTTTACTGGTCTGTAGTATGATGTTTACACTCGGCGGGTGGCTGTATATTCACAGTGAATTGTGGGTTAGCAGCAGCCCGTGGTGGGTAGAGACCTGATTCCGTACCACACACATTTACCTCCTGTTATGGTCACTCTGCTGGCTGTGAATGAACTGAAATACAGGCACCAGCCCATCTCCTCCTCTATGGCAGTGCAGTTTCACTCATCTGAATTTCAGAGCAAGTCCTAGATGTACAGCTTCTCCCCAGCACAAGAAAGGTCAGAGGGGCCCTGGGGCCAGGCAGCCAGGTCTTGGAAACACAGGCCTCTGGCTCCACAACCCCCCAGGTGCACAAGGAAGCACAAAGACCTGTGGGCACCTCTCCCATCCAGCATGAAGTGAACCCCGCTTCCTTCTGCATGGCTCTGAAGGCTGTTCCAGAAGTGACTCCCAGACAGAGCTATTCTGCAAAGGGGTATGGAGATGCAGGGCACTTCTGGACGGGCTGAGGGCCGGTTCAGACCCTGAGCACACCCACCATGTGTTCAGTGTGCACAGAATGTTACTGCAGAGGAGCTCAGAATTTCAACATCTTCTCCCCAATCTCACATCTGAACCATGCTCCCCATTCTGTCTGTCTGTCTCTCACACACAAGCAGAAGAGAAGCACATCATCCCCTGAGCCACGTAGGTGCAGCCAAAGCCTTTGCCTGGAAGTCCATCCCTGGGCCAAGGCGGTGTCCCACATGCCTCACTTCTGGGTGGGGTGGGAGCTCGCGTGGACAGAATCCACGAGGTGCTGTGTGTTCTAGCCAGGTCCAAGTTCAGCCTTGGATCAGACCTGACCTTCTGCTTTTTATCTCAAGCAAGCCTGCTTCCTTTGTCACGTCCACCAACTTCTAAAACCTATGGTAAGCCTCAGGGCTATGAAAATGTTGTAACTTTAATGGCTAATATTAATAGTGGGCACACGGACTGTCCTGTGACATGCAAACAGCTTTATTATTATTTATTATCCTAACTCATTATTATGAACACCATGGGATAAGGGCTACCAAGATTTCTTATTTTACAGATAAAGAACTCAAGGCCCCCAAGAAGGTAAGTAACTTTAGCAACACCAACACGGCAGAGCCAGGAAGCGCATGCTCAGGAGATCCAACTTAACAGTTTGCTCAGAGGTCAAGCTCTGCAGCTGCCATGGGCTGGGCTGCTGCTGGCAGTGGTGGGAGGGGTGCACGAGTTCTACCACCAAAAACATCACACACTCACTTACACTCTATCCACCTTCTCAAGTTACCTGCATAAGAATTTGATGAGCACAAAGAGAAATGGGATTTCTGTGAGTGCTGTAGCTGGTCTGACCCCAGCAACCAGATCTGATCCCAGGCCAACCTTCTCCCCAGGCTGAACGAGTGAGATGGTGGTCTTAAGGATGCCAATAGGTCATGAATGACTTCCGTCACATCAGAGCTTATGGGCTGGAGAAATGGGATTTGATGTATATACCTTGCCCAGTAAATAGTAGCTATTTTGGTTATGAAACTATATTTATTAGTTAAGAATAGGAGAATTCTTTGTATTACAGACATGGGAGGCAACAATGAACTAATGTTGAGACTTATTTTTACCAGTTTTGTTCCTGATGGTGAGACATCATCCTTGCCCTCCATGTGGTTCTGGAGATTCAGTTTTACCCTGAATGACTAGAATTTTCCTTTAGTTTTGCTTGGAAAAAACATTTTATTGCCCAGTGGGTTTGGAAAATTGAGGTTTTCTTTGTTTCTTTCCCTCTGTAGCTCTCAGCAGAAAAGTGAAGGGCAGTGAGGAGTGACCATCTGAGGGCTGAGTCCAAGCAGGGCAGTTGGGAGAGGGCTGTGACTCCTGAGGGGCAAGTGACTTGGGGGTAGGGCTGGTCCTGGTGGAAGGAGGGCATGGAGTACTTTTCCAAAGAGCGTTTCATGGGACACTAGTTGTTCAGGTCAATTAAAAGGGGTAACTTTGAAAAGAAGGTTGTATTTGGTTTAACTTATGTTGGTGGTTCTCAATACCTGGTCTCACCACGGCATCACATCCCCCAGGCACTTGCTGGAAATGTCCTGTTGGGGCCGACCCGCTGCTGGCTGTGTTTCAGTCAGTCCTGGAGGGGGTGCTCATGCAGGTTCGGGTTTGAGAACCACTGATTTAGGGGAACACGGGTTTGAAGAGTCACACAGATTTCCCTCCTGTATACTATACTCCGACCTGTAATATCCCAGTGCTTACTGAAACTCGTCAAGAAGGAAATAAAACAGCAATTTCCTTCTGAGTGTCTTTGGCTAAGGGTGAGGGGGGGGCATTTTCACGGAGCGTCCCTAGCGCATGGGTCTCTGCGGACTGGACAGCATGTCAGGCCCAGAGAACCGCATTTCTAGAGCCTGCTCTTAGCTAGAGACCTCTCAGTGCAGAGGAGGCATGAGGAATGCTCTGCAGTCCCAGGAGATTAATTTTGAGCTCAGGTTGTCTGAGCTGTCACGGAACACCAAGGTTTAAAAAGAAAATGCTGACAGGCAGTTGTGGAACCAATTCCCTCCAGCACATGGGGAACTTGGCCCAAGGCTCTGTGATCTTGGCCAGGTAGCAATCATTGTTTCCACGAGGTGGCGCTCCTGCCATAATTATTTTTTGCTTCAGGGTTGGGGAGCAGCCTCTGATTTTGGCCTGGTAGTAATCACTGTTTCCATAAAGTGGTGCTCCCGGCTATAATTATTTTTAGTTTCCCGAGTAAAACTGCAATATTGACTCTGGCTGCCAAATGGAGTTGAAACTTATGTTACACAGTTTACATAGATGACTTCCCACATAATCATGCTTCATGTCTGACCATGTTTGGAGCAGTTAATTATTTTTTGTTCCCATGGGTCACTGAAAACACAATAATATATGGACCCTGGATGGCAGGGTCCTACCCCGGAGGGGTAGGAAAGAGCATTACAATTTCAGGGCACATTCTAAAGCACGTGTGTGCTCTCAGCTGTCTTTATTCCTCAGTGCAAGGAAAAGTATATAATGATTAATTTATGAGCAATCAATTACATTACAGGTAATCAATTGGCTTAGAGACAAGAGGGAGTGAGTTAGCTTTTTTTCATAAACACAAATATAACCCCGGCAGCTTAAAATGAGGCATCAAGAAACTTGGATTTTCCTGGGAAGTTACAGTGGGGTCTTTCTTCCTGTCCCGGGGGAAGCAGACTGAGCTATTTCTTTATAGTCTGATTCTAATAGGGTTTAGCAAATAAAAATACTGGATGCCCAACAGAGCCATGTTTCAAATAACAAATACTTTTTAGAATAAGCACGCCTCATGTGATGTTTAAGGCACAGGAAGAACTGCTCCTTGTTTATTTAAAATTCAAATTTAACTGGGCACGATGTATTCTGTCTGGCAACCCTACTGTGGAATAACACCCTACTTTCCAGTTCTCTTTTCCCCACTCCTGTCCTCCCATTTCTGAGGGGACTCTGAGGTAGGGGTCACAGCGAGGCAGGACAGGGGCCACGGGCTGTCCTCCGGCAAGTTTCCCACTTGTCCACAGGTCAGGGTGGTCATTCTGCCACAGGAACTCCAGATTCTGCCTCTGCTTCAGAGATTCCCATTCAGTGACTCTGGCGGGGCCAGGGCACTTGCACTTTCAACTCTGCCTGGTGATTCTAATGTACATCCAGGCTAAGGTCAGGGCTTAAGCTGTACCGTGGTAATGAATCACCCAGCAACTTTATCCAGCTGCAGAAGCTGACTCAGAGGCTCTGGGGCCCCAGAAACTGCACTGCAACGACTTCCCAGGTGATCCTGATGCTCTACATCAGTGACTTTCCCCCCAGGGTGCTGCAAGAGTTTTTAAAACATGCAATACCTGACTATTTAGTCTGGGGCACTGACCTCTTTTCCCTTAGATTGTTAAATAACAAAATGACAACATCCAACACAATAATGGTGGATTATGAATGGATCAAAATTATACCTCACGTATTTTTGTCAGATCAGCAGAATATATATTTTGGGTGTGCCACAGAATTTTAATAATTAGTTTATATGTGCCACGAGAGGAAAAAAGGTTTAAAATCACTGCTCTACATGGACCAGGCCTTGAGTAGTAAGATTTAAGAGCATGAGAAACATTATTGTAGAAACTGTTTTTCTGACTCTTCAGAAAGTTGACCTAAGTTATCCTTTCCTTTCAGCCCCCTCCGCATCTCAATTTTTCTTAAATATCCCTTTCCCTGGGTTCATAAAAGGGAATCTTACGGTGACTAATTGCAAGGAGTCGGACACACACTCTCTTGGTGGCTGCGTGCTGCTTCCAGCTCTGTGGCAGCATCCTTCTCATGACCTGACTGGTTCACAGGCTCCCATCTGCAGGGAGAATTCCCTGGGAGACAAGCAAGGCTCTCTTCCTTGCTTTCACCTATATACCCTTTGCCTTTGGTTTATTTCCTAAATTTTCTAACATTTTGAAAAATGGTTTGAGGAAGTGGGGAAGCACATTCATACCACCACAGAGGCCAGGACTAAAGAGAGAAAACAAAACTCACCCCCCAGCTAATAAGGACCCTTACCAGTGACTTCTTAATGTCAGAGACTGCATAGTTCCCTTGTGATATCCATCTGGCAGATTCAGTTAAAGAAAGGCCTGTTCCATAAAGGTTGATGCTAAAACGACCCTGGAAAAATAAGACGATACAAGAGATTTTTAGTCCACGTGATGCCCAAGTTGTTAAAACGTAACTTTGAAAGGAAATGGGTAGTAATTAATAACGATAGCTACTAATTATTGAGGGTTTTTTTTTGGGGGGGTGTAAGTCTGGGCCAGGAACTTTACAAACATCATGTCATCCATCTTCGCAAGAGCTCTATGAAAGAAGTTTTCTTTACAGATGGGGAAACTGAGGCCCAGCAGAGGTGATTAACTTCTTCAGGATGCGGTGCGAATCCAACTCAGATTTTCCTGACTTCAAAGTCTTCACTCTCAGCCTAACACAGCAATCCTGATGTTGCTCATAATTATCAGATTCCTTCAGGAACAAAATGCCACAGTGTAATTTTTCTAACAAGATCTCGCCGCCAAAGCTTCCTGGGCTTCAGCTCTGGGCACACTGCCTTACTAAGCACAGCAGGGCGGGACTTCAAAGGAGAGGCGCAGTCTCCAGGATGTCCAGCAGAGGGCGCACGTGGCCTGCTCCAGGTCCTTGGGACCAGGCCGCCCCCACTGGGCACAAGGAACCCACAGCTTCCAAGAATCTCCAGGGTTCCTTAGGAAACGTGACCTCGGCAGTTTCCATATTTATTTCTAAGGAGACGGTGCGGTAGCGATTTTTCTCTTGCTCTTCCCATCTGTTTCTGTTCTCTCCCTCTCTCTTTCAAAAATTACTCTGCAGAGGCAACTGAAATAGTGTCTTCTTAAGGTTTCTTTCTCCACATGAACAGTTTCGAAGTTAAAAATGTTCAGCACGAACATGCTCAGGGTGAATGCTTCCTCTCTGAGCCTTCCTTACACTTCAGTATTTCCTTACACCTCAGTATTTTGTCGAAAGTCTTTATTTAATAAAGCAAGGAGGCGCCGCGATCTGGAGACTCAACAGCCAATCAGTCCTGTGTAAGTTCACAGGGCCATGTAAAGCTCTTTACACCGGCAATGAGCCACTGGGCACATTTTTTCACCCATGAGAACCTCAGCTTGTCCATCTGTAAAATAGAAGGTAGTGGCAGCCCTATTTTATAGGGTCTGGTAAGCGAGCTAAACTGGAGCTGGAGGGTTGTGATTGGTATGTTAGCTTTCCCTGACAGGGGTTTGCGATAAGTTCAGGCTGAATTAGGTGTAGATTTGTGACATCTGCCAGGCCACAGCGGGCAGCCTCAATTCCGTGGGTCCTGACATACAAATTAACTTTCTCAGATCTAACCTGTCAATAACAGGGGGTTAGATAGAATGTATAGTGCACCTAACTCATTATCCGGAGAGAACTGATATTTTAAAATGTGTTCTGGAAATTATTCTGTGACAGCACTCTGCAGTGTTGGGGGTGGTTAATTTGAGCAGCCTCAACACCCAAGTGTCCCTGATTGTAACAGTACTGAGGTGCAGAGCCCTCCCTTGCCTGGCCTCCTCGGGCTTCTGTGTGCCCAGTTGTCTGGCACATAGCCAGACTGTCTCCTCAATCTGGCTTCTATGTGCCAGAATGTCCCACCAGACCAAGTTCTTATCTCTCTGTCACCCCTGCCCTGAGGGGTGCGTCCACACCCGTGTGATGACCAGACCACACTGTTGCCAAGGACTCCTCTCATTTCTCCCTCCCCAGCCTGCTTCCTAGGCACACTGCCTGTCCTACCTGCACTCCAGGTCAACTGGATCTGCTTAGATGTCAAAGTGCTTGGAGGGTCCAGTCCCCTGAACCGGCTCCTAGCCTGAGAATGCCCCTCTAGCCCCTGACCTGGGTGTTCAGTGTCTGAGTACACTCCACACACAGATCTGCCATCTCGAGCAGGGCAGGTGATACACCTGAATGGAACACACCTTCCTCCTCGCTCTTTCCTCCTTTTCTGGTTCAGGATTTGCATTGTCAGTGAGTGCCCTAGCTGATGATTGGCACTCTAGAAGTTTGGCACTGCCAGAGGAATAAAGGCTTCATGTCCTGTCGAGCTCTAGTCTGGGACATCTTTGCCCCCAAGGCCTTATCTTCAGAGTCTAAATGGCAGTAGTTTTACCTACTACTTTCTGTTGCTTATTTAAAAGAGAAAACATAATGGAGTCATCCATACACTGATGACCCAGAAAAGCTTGTAAAGGGTGTGCCTTAGACGGAGAGTTTGTCCTCTGCTCAGACAAAAGTGAACTCTTCAGAAATCTCGCCAGGAAACAGCCAGACAGGGATGCCTGCCGTGTGTACTCAGACACCTGAGATCAAATCCAGCCTCTACTGAGCACCAGAGGCGTGGGTTTGGCAAGTGGCTGAAATGCTCCACACCTCAGTATTCCTACCTGTGAACAGGGAGCATTTCCTGTCAAGGGAGACTGCAGGGATTACATACGGCGCTGACTTGAAACTGACAGGCACAGGGCCTACAGCCTGGTGAACACAATCAGTGCTACTCATCCCAGCCTCGAAAAAAGGAATAATAATGTCATATCCACTAGGATCAGGAATTTTCCCCTCTGTTTATTTTTAAAATATTTTGTGTCTTTATTTTTGGAGAGAGAGGAAGGGAGGGAGGAAGAAAGGGAAAGAAACATAAATGTGAAAGAGAAACATTGGTTGGCTGCCTCTTGCATTCACTCCAACTGGGGACCGAGTCCACAACCCAGGCACGTGCCCTGATGGGGAATTGAACCAGTGACCTTGAGAAGCAACCGAGCCACACTGGTCAGGGCTGATGAGGATTTAAAAAAAAAGATAATCTGGCTATATTTTCAGGTGAGGGCTTTTGGAGGATCCACCTTATTAATAAATAACCCCCCCCAAACGCCAGCAATGGGCGAGGAGAGAGAAGCAGACTGTCAAACAGAGCATCCGCCTGCTCCGGGGTCTGTGGGCTCACTAGGTCGGGGTGGACCATCTGCTCTCAGGCAGCCCACATGATCCTGCGTTCCGGCCCTTTCCTGGAAAACTGATTTGAAAAACTCACGCCTTTCATTTATATAGTTAGTGTTCGATAAATGTTTAAGGAGAAGAATTCTTTAAGTACCCAATGTGGTTTGAAGAATGGGCTGGAAAAAAATACAAATTAGCCTTTCACTGGCTTTGGGGTTTTTCACTTAGCAATTGCTTCAGTGTCAGGATTTAGCAAATCAATCTGTTCATTTGTTTATGAATTATTAAAGCAAATGAATGCAAATGAACTCCATTTGCTTAAGCTTCCTAAAGGATGTGCATGTGGAAAGGAGAACCCTGAGACTTGAAAAAGGCGGGACAGGACCAGTCTGTTAGCCGTTGGAATGAAGCCCTTACCTGTGGGGTTTTGAGAGTCATCAGCTACTCTAAAGAAACTACACTTCAAAAGTTTTCAATTCCTGGGTAATGGAGAAAAGGCCCTTTTTACAATTATGTCTTTTGTTTATTTTCTTTCACCCCTGAGAGCTTCCTTTTCACTTCTCTAAAACATTTAGCAATGCTTTCTAAATCTTGGGGCTGAGAAAATACTTCTTACAAGAAAATTCAGATGTGTTTGTCTTTGGATGGTCCCTGTGGTTGGGTGTAAATCTATCCTGGGATTCGGAAGGCATCACCCAATCTCGAGCCTTTCCAAGGTGCACAGGCAGAGTGGGAAATTCCAGACACAGAGTGTAACAACAGCCTTGTGAAGAACTGATGCAAGCCAAAGAAAAAATAGGGGCCAAGTTCTCCTGTCCGGAATCACCCAACTCATCGTTCGTCCTGACTTCTCACTGCAGAAGATTCTTGCAAAGACTGGTGGCTGTCTTACCGAGTTAGCCCAGGCTGAGGGTCACGGCATGTTTCAGAAGGCAAGTTAAAACCTGTCACACCTCTAAGGAGGCACGAGGGTGTGGAACTGCAACGTGGGCAGGCAGACTGCATCGGCTGTGCTGCTGAGGCGCGAGTACAGTGGAAGACGCGGTGTTCCTGCTCTGAACACTGCGTGGTTTATATACATCTGAAGTCAGGGTGACAGCGTTTCTATATCATGTAGTAGTTGGGATTTTCTAGCGCTGACAGTGGGGTGCTGGAGTGCATTTGTACTGGCTGTTGAGAGCTGATCGTATCTCTCCTCAGCTCTCCATTTAGTGACATATGTTGATGGCTTGAAATCAGTAAAGCAGGTGGTGGGAAGATACTTGCACCATGGAAATCGGCAAATGCTACAAAGCAGGGTTGTTGTTTTTCTTTTCCTTGGAGAGTTAGTCACTAAACATTTACCAGCATGTCACTGACTTTATAATACTCATTTTATTAGCTACCATCATTTGCTTAACCAAGCCATCCAGTATCCACCATCTAATTTGTTTCTACATTTTCACCATTGTAATAGATGCATTTTGCTAAATGGAGAGGGTTGGCAGGTAGCTGTAATCATTTCCTAGGAAACAGTCCTAGGAGTAGAATCAGACTAGACTGAAGAGCTGTGAGCATTTGAGGAGCCAAGCCCACTTCCTCAGCAGCTGTGCTGAGTGCATTCCCAGGCACAGAAGCCGCCCAGGGTGTCTGGGGGCGGGCTCCCAGCTTACCTGTGGGCACTTGCTGGCGCTGTAGCAGTCTCCAGCCGTGGCAAAAGGCACAGGATGCCCTTCGCTTGTCCTTGCAAACTGTAAGTCAGTGGCTGTGGGGTTTGGAGACGGGTTAAAGGGAGAAGAGAGGTGACAGGGGGAGAGTAGGGAAGGGACAGGATATTAGCAAGGAGAGAACAGGGAAGAAGAATAGCCAGAGAAGTGGTAAGAGGAGTGGGAGAGGGGAAAAAACAAAAAGTATGATTAGTGAGCAAATGGATCCAGATGTGCTCTGGCTTTTTCCTCATTATACTGTGGTTCTGAGAGCCTCTCCCCGGGTTTTATGTCCTGTCTCCTTACCGCAAGGAAGCCAAAAAGGGGGTTCAGGATGGCTTTGGAATTCATTCCTATATAAATAAATATGGGAACTGCCTTGCTTAAACGGAGACTAATGGGAAGACTGTGAGCCCCTGCACGTGGGCTGGCCTGCGAGACTTCAGGACCTGGGAAGCAAGTTGGAAAAGCGTTCCAGCCACTTCAGAGTTATTCCCTGCGGCTTCCTCTGTCCTCCCGTGGCCCAGGCACTATTATTGCCAAAATGTGGAGCAATTAGAACCCACATCTTGAAAGTATTAATGGCAGTTTCTCAAGTTTGGGGTTGACTTCTAGTTTTTTTTTAAGCCAATAAAAACAATGCTTATGTTTTTAACCATCTTGTAGCTCCTGAGACCAGCTCTGCAATTGGGGGGCCAGGAGGCAGGCTGAGAACCCTGCAAAGCTGTTGCTGGTGGAACCGGAATCAGGGGCAGACTTTCACCTTTCTGCCTTGTCTTTCTGGGATCTTCTGCAGTTAACCCTGTTTTGGTGCGAGGAAGATCTGGGTCCCCTGTCCTGTAGGAAAGGGGCCCTGGAAGAAGCTGGGGGGCAGCAGGGATGTGGGGGTGGTGGGGTGTTTCTAAGTGAGAAACTGCAGACCCTTTGCCATTAGCCCTGATCGGTCCAGCTAAAAGCAATGAGCACTGTCTTGGCACAAATCAAGTTTAATGCACCTCAAGAGGAAAGTGGTGTGGTATTATGGGTGCGGTGTTAATGAGGAAAATTAATTATCCATTATTTCTGTTTGGCTATCTGAGCTGTTTTTAACCACTCCTGTGATGAATGCCCCTAACAAAACTGCAGTGTTGGCCAGAGTATGAAATCAGTCCACTCGCAGGCCAGTTTAAAAAAAGGTACCGTATTTTTGGGACTATAAGATGCACCGGACCATAAGACGCACCTAGGTTTTAGAGGAGGAAAAAATTTTGAAGCAAAAAATGTGGTAAAATATTTAATGACATAAATAACATAATATTTCACCAATGTAAATGTAAACTACATTTACGAGCCAGGTACGCTACATTTGGACTATAAAACACACCTCCATTTCCCTCCCAAATTTTGGGGGAAAAGTGCGTGTTATATTCTGAAAAGTATGGCAGTTCTTTGCTGCATTTTTTTCTGTGTCAACCAACAATCAAATAAAATTAGTTTTGTGCCCATCCACGTGTCACACTGTGCCGGGGGAAGCAGTGGGGAGTGGACGGGCCGCGTGCCTGTGTGCGTTCCGGGCTTTGCACCTGCTCTTTCTCTGCTACGCCCACACAGGTGCATCTGCCTGGCCAGCTCCTACTTGGCCTTGGGGACTCAGTTTTGATGTCGTATTTTGAGGATGCTGCTCTGACTCCACCACTGCAATGGGGCCCTTTCAATATGCTTACATCTCCTCCCTTCGTTTATTCATTACACGTCTGAGAGAGCAGTTTCCAGGCTGAGGTGCAGCAGGGAACAGAAAGGAGCAAGCCTGACCTCAGGGGGCTTAGGACAGCAAGTCCTAAAGGACAGTAAGAGGGACACTAAGCGGGACAGTAAGTCCCTCTTTGCATCCTGGGCTCCTTGCCCCAGCCTCCATGCTCACTGAATGGAGAGACGCATGAACACATTAACACGTGATGTCCCACTGAACCTACTTATTATCTGCATGGTGATCAGGTCTATTCTGATTTTCTGGAAGCTAGAAAACCCAGCTGCTGTGTAGTCCTTCCGACACTGGCAGTCATCACGGCGGCTCCCGTTGTAGGGGCATTCGGTGGGGTTGTGCAACCTGCATCACAAGGAGAACGATCTGATGAGGATGGGAGGGTGTTTCCAGGGGTCTCTGGGGGCCTGGCCCCTCTGGGCCTGAGCTCTCCTACCTGTACCCATAGACCTCGGAGAAGTTCTCAGTGTCACCACGGACCAGGGTCAGGTACTCCTTGGGGTGGTCAGACTGCATCCCCGCACAGAATATCTGAAAGGCAGACCAGAAAGAACCCCACGGGGGTGGCTCAGAAAGGGGAAGCTGAGAGCCAGGGTCACTCACTCAGAAGACGGTTGAGGAATAAGGCCTGGCGTCTGATGTTCACCTTCAGGGGCTTTCCTTTGATGGTCAGAAAATATTCACCATCTTCGGTGGCACCATTCAGTCTTCTTACCTCCTTGCAGTTCTGGGGTAACTCGCCTAGAAAAAGTGAGATGCAAAAATGATGTGTGATGTTCCACAGTAGGCTGTGCCTCCTTATGAAGTGAATTAACTGTTTACACTGAAGCTGTTCAGAAAAGGGGGAAAGTTCCTTCCTTTCCTTTTTTTCTTTAAGATTTTATTTATGTATTTTTTAGAGAGAGAAAAAGGAAGGGAGGGGGGAGAGAGAAGGAGAGAGAGAAAGAAACATGGGCGTGCCAAAGGCACATTGATTGGTTGCCTCTTGCAGGCCCAGAAGCAGGGACCTGGCCAGAACCCAGGCACGTGCCCTGACTGTGAATAGAACTGGGGACCTTTCAGTTTGCACCACAAACTGAGCCACACCAGTCAGGGCAAGGGGACAACTTCTGTAAAATAAACTTTACATTTCCAAAATGGGAAGGCGAACAAATAGAGAAACCCTGTTCTTGCTTCCAAAAGATGGCTTCGCTTGGCCAACTTACAGTTATAGGTATTATGGCAGGTTTTTCTCTCCTCTGGCTTCAGATCATCGGGACATAAGTGGCTGGGCTGGTCCTCATTGGTTAAACATTGCACAGATCTGTGTCTCACTCCAGTGCCACAGGACACCGAGCACTACAAGGCAGAGCAGAATCAGTGATACGGTCCCTGAACCCGGGAGGCCTGGTCTTCCATGGTGCGGTGCCCCGGGCCCGACGGCATGTACAGGGTGTCATTTTAGAACCTCTGTTACCAAAACAAATAGCTGAGAAAACTGAGCACTTACTATGGACCCATCCCTGTGTTGAGCTTTATATTACACATTTATGTAGATCTACCTACCTACATACATAGTTCCTTACGTATTCATACATATGATATATATAATTCCATATTCTCATTTAGGCCTTATAGTAACCCTGAGATAGCGCTTCCATTATTCTATTTTTACAGAGGGGAGATTGGGGCTCAAATGTTAAGAAATTTGTTCGAGGTCATGGTAGAGCCAGGATTCAAAAGCTAGTGGTTTTCAGTTGCTCCTGTATTTTTGCCTGGTCACTTTATGACACTGAGCAATCAAGAGGCCAGGGGCTGTGGAGACTTCCCAGTGCAGCTCCAGTTTAAAATATCCTCACTGTAACCCCTAATGCAATGAGGAATTCCTGATGCCATGCAGAAGAACTAGAACACACAGACTTCTTAGCAACAGGAGCAGCAACTAAAACTCACTAAGTGACAAAGTGCTGGGTGCTTTTCAATCTTAAATTGTGGAGAATATATGAAACTTAAAACAGGTCATTATAATCTAAGTGCTTTTTCTGTGTTAACCACTTCCATCTGAATCACAGACACCCATTTTGCAGATGAGTGAACTGACACTCAGAAGTTCTGAACTTGACCAAGGTCATCGGACAGGGAAGTGGCCAAACCAGGAATCAGGCAAAGGCTGCCTGGCTTCAGAGCGTGTACGTTAAGCACCCAACCAGCCACACCACCAAAGGAGCCCATTTCGAGTGCTAACTGCTGTTTCTCATCAGGGTCTCTTCTAGAAGAATGACTCTGGGTAGGTCAGGCAGGCCACTTTTAAGACAGGGTTTTCAATCCAAAAGCTTTCCTATTTGATAACTCAGCCATCTACTTACGCTTCCCCAGTTGCCCACTCTCCAGGTGGCCGAGATGGGGCACTCTTTCAGGTAGCAGGGGTGCACACTGGGGGGCTGTGTCCCCGGGCAGTTGGTGGCAGTTTGGTGGCCATACTCATAATTCTCCTTCCCGGTGTAAATCTCACTACAGGACACGAGCCTTTGCTTGTAGCCCTTTCCGCAGGTCACTGAGCACTGAGGAGAGAGGAGGGGAGAGGCTGGAGCAGGGCCCGGGGGCGGCCGCAGCGCACCCCTACCCCACCTGGCAGGCTGAACCCGTGACAGTGCTGCCGAGGCTCTCAGCTTATTAGCCCGTATGCTTGGAGCAGCAGCCCCTAGCACGCAGGACACAGGTGCCCTACATGACGTGCACTGCCACCACCTCCGCGTGGGTCTAGTGCTCCCACTGCCCCTGTGCGGTGGGTGGGGGGACCTCAAGTCTCTTCTCTGGGTTCAAGGGCAGAGGGCAAAGGTGGGGGCTGAACTCCAGCTGTCATTGGTTCAATGACAACCCACACACTGGCTGACAAAGCATGTTTTTCTAAACCTACAATGACCACAACAGAGAACTGACCAAGTGGGATGGAGAGAGAGCCAGAGCCCATCTGAGAAGAATGTGAAATCCAAGCACTCAGCCAAAAGAGGACCCTGGGACAGTTTCCATTCCTAGTCAATGCCCCCTGCTTTTCCATCTGACTTCCAGCTAATGTCCTTCTCTCTTCCCTCTCCGTGGCCACATATATTGACTAAAATGTTACCTTTCTGCTTCTCTCTCTCCCTCTCTTTCATGCAGTCATCTAGCCTTTTTGCCATAATTAGAATGCATTTAACAATACTGAGAGATACAGAAAAGGAGAAGGAACAAATGTCTTATTAGTGTCCCAGCTCCCTTCTGTGATGGGACATCTAATTGGTTGCTTATAGTCTCTTCAACACCCCCAGCTAAGTATTTTATATAATAGATTATTTAAAAGTAAGTCTGAATTACAACAAATTTAGTTTTGATGATGTTTTCAGTCAGAGTCACCAGACAACTGGCCATCCCCAGTGCGGGTGTCACTTCAGGCTCCCTGAGGAGGGCACGGGGGCAGGGGTGGGAGCAGGGGCAGCCAGCCCCCTGTGGTGTGTGCTGCTCTTCTGGGGGGAGGGACCGACGCTTCCATCAGTTCCTACTTGCCATTAAAAGCCACAGTGTGCTCTTTCCTAACATCCCCTGAGCTGTTACTTTAAGCCACATGGCTTTCCTTTCCTGAAACTTTTCCAGGGAGAAGTCTTTTCCTGAAGCCGTCCCCTGAGGCAGCTGGGGTGGGGGGGTTGGGAGGGAATGGGGAGGCGGGGGACGAACAGGCCCAGCCAGAAGCACGCAGAGCATTCCTTCCAGCTGGCTCGAGACCTGCACACACGATGCTGTGGGTACATTTCTTCCTTCTTTGGCTGTGCTTTTCAAATGCCCGAAGACCCAGCTGACATCATGCCAGGGCCCTGGGAGTCTAGTCTGGGGCATTTCATGTGTGGACAGGTGGCTAACAAATGCCCTGTTCTAGGTGTAGGTATTTTAGAGTGTCCACCCCAGCACTGGGTGCCGTGCCCTCAGTCTGTACAAATTCCAACAGGGCTGCACGTCAGAGAAGGAAGGCAAGTCCTGGGAACTGGATCCCAGCGAAACAGAAACTGAAGCAGCCCCGTGGCCACCGATGCCGTGATGCAGTGGCAAGCAGGCCTTTGCTGACGGAACTGAACCCAAACATGGTCAGGTTTTATTCTGAGGCCTCCACATCTCCGAAAAGAATCTGGAAAGAACACGTGCTGCCTCTGGTCTCCTTAGTGCATTTCGGACCAGAGGTTAGACATGTAGGAGACTCCCTCTGGGGAGGGGAGGGCGGCGCAAGGGCAGGAAAACCTTACTGTTGGTTCTCTTTGCTTTGGGGTCACATGCTCGTTTCACCATGAATGTGGCTTACTTTCTACTTGGAAAATAACAGTGATGTAAAATAAAACAGTAAGATTGTGGGCTCCCTGCCTCAGTTATCCACTCAGGCCCAACAGGGAGATGTACCGGCCAGGGCTGAGGGAACCCCTCCTTTCCAATCTGGCCGCAGCCTTCTGGGATTCAGGTGGGGCTGTGTGCAGACCACAGTACCCAGAACGCCAGCGGAGAGTGCTCTTCTAGAGGGAATTCCGGTTCTGTCCCTTTGGCACCATTTCCTGTGCAGGTCCCTCCCTCCTCTAGTTCCTTGCACCTGTGGGAGGCCCTGTCTCCAACCCTCTAAACTTTGCACATTTGTAGATTTTTCTGAATCTCTGATACATCTGAGAATTTGCAGATATGTGGTAGGCTATTTTTTCTTTTTCATTTAAAAAAATCATCCTCTACATCTCACCTTTTAGGGGTTAAGATTAAGGTTTTATTAAAGTTGTAGTGGTAACATGACTCAAATCTTAGAAAGAAACCAAAACTCTTTTGGCAGAATAAGAGCAACACACCAAAGACTGGCTCAGGTGATGGGAGTGTCCCGGGAATGACCGGGGGGTTGGCAGCACCCCTGGCCTACCAGACGTCAGGAGCATCCCATCTCCCCAGGTTGTGACAACCCAAAATGTCTCCAGACATTGTCAAATGTCCCCCTGGGGGGACAGAAGACAAAATGACTGGCGTAGAGGGAAGGACGGAGATGCAGAGTTAGAAAAGACTTTAGTATACCTTTAGTACAGAAATAATAAAACACTCAACACACTCAAACTTGAAGAGACCCAGTGACAGCGAGCACCTTTGCTATGAGCCCAGGTGCTTCCCTTTCCCATCTCTAGATTTTTTGGGGGGCAAAGGGCCACTGGTTTTGATGTTATAGATCTTTCAGTATTTGAAAATATCATGAAGTTTGAATATAGAATATAATCATGCCATTATTACTATTGGTGGATTAATAATAAAAGTGTCCAGATAGGCACTGTATCTGGAGGAGATAGGGAAAGATGGATACTTGAGGCCCTGGCTGATGTAGCTCAGTGGATTGAGCCCAGGCCTGTGAACCAAAGGGTCACTGGTTCAATTCCCAGTCAGGGCACATGCCTGGGTTGTGGGCCAGGTCTCCAGTAGGGGACATGTCAGAGGCAAGCACACATTGATATTTCTCTCTCTCTTTTTCTCCCTCCCTTCCCCTCTGTCTAAAAATAAATTTTTAAAAACATTAAAAAAAGATACTTGAGATTCCTTGGATAATATGGAGAATTATTCTGTTCTTTGGAATCAGAGGTTGTTAAATGGGTAACCCACATCTGGCCCATGAATGTGTCTGGTTTGCCCCCTCCAATGTTTCAAATGGAATAATCTGAGTCCACAGTTTAACATTAGGAGATCTCACATTTACTTCCAGATTCGTGCCCTCTCTTGAAAAGTCAAGTTTGGTAAGACCAGGCCTGCATTTCTGCACAGCCTCAGCTGCAGTGGGACACAGCCTGTCCTGCTACACACCATGTACTGATTTGTCTTCCTGACACTGAGACATCTTCTTATACTTAGTTCTTTTCAGGCACTGAGAAGCATTTCATGAATTTGCAGCCCATGTAATAATTTCTTCCTACTCACACCAACAGGACATCAAGATGAATCACGGAATGAAAAGTTGAGGGGAGCTCAGACCACCCGGTGCATCTCCCCCAATATGTACCTGTGGGGCTCTGGCCTGGGAAGGAGGAGGGACTTGTTGTTGGAGGACTCGGTGCTCATAGGCAGAACTGGCCAGTGGGTCAAGTCTCCCACATCCCTGCCTTCATCACTCTGTTCCCTGAAAACTACAGTAACAGAATCCCCAGGATGTACCTCCGACCATTCTCCTGTGATCCAGACATATTCGCAGGGTTGCAGACTACAGCTCTCCCGGTCGGCAGGTCGCTTGCTGCTGTCGCAGTGCATGCCATGAACCTCGCTGCCTTTTTCTTCATCCACACACATCACCCTGCGGTACCTGGAGCCTTCGCCACAAGTCTTGGTACACTATTAAAGACAAACGAAACAAGTGTTGATGTGGAATAATAGAATGACATCCTGTTGTTATATGTAAGTTATCTATTATATGTAGAAAAATAATATCCCGTTGTTATAATTATTTGTTTTCCTGTCTATAGCCTCTTAAGACCATGAGGTCTCTGAGGCCAGGGGTTATCAGAGAACTCAAACTTTTACCCAGTCCCCTGCAACACTCTCCTGGCACGTCGAGAAGCATTCAGTGAGTGGCTGTCTGAATGCAGGAAGGAAACTGGAAAGGAATGAATGTCAGATGTGGAAAGGACTTGTTTATTTCAAATACCCACTCAAACATGGAATCTTTTAAAAACTATGGTCAAGTGGTTTTCAAACTCTTATTTCCTCCTTTCCCTGACTCAACAGGTGGCTAAATACCTCTTGAGTCAGGAAAGTCATTACTTGTCTAAGTGGCCCATTTCATCTTAAAACAGAAATAAACATATCTCTGCAGATTCAGTGTCTTGTCTTAGTGGTTGAATCCAGAGCAGCATGAAGGACGTGTTTCATTTCTCACCAGTGAGTCCCTTTTAGGGACTTGATGAGAGCTTTTCCTGTGGCCCCTACAGCCCTCTCTTCTCTAGGCAAACTGCTCTCATTTTTAGTCAATTTTCACCAAGATCCTAGTAAGTGTCAGGCCCTGGGGTGGGTCCTGGGTGAACAAAAGTGCACACAGTGGCATAGCCACTGCTCTTGCAGAGGACTGTGTATCTCCGTAGCAAGGACAAACATTAAAGACTGAGGGAGCTAGGCAGTGAGGGTTAGTAGTTGCTCTGATCTCCATTTTTCAGATGAAGAAAGTGAGGCTATAGTGAGCCTGAGTATCTTGTCCCAGGTCATACATCTCTTCATGGGGTAGAAGGGACTGATATTTTTATTCCCATGAACCAAGTGAGGAAAACAGAGAAGTTGGTATGTTTTATCCTAGGATGACCTATCTCTATGCTGTCCACTTGAGTTTCAGAGTCAATTCAACTCAAAATTCTTTTTTGAGAAAATTGAACAGACACATGCATGCGACCCCCCCCAAAAAAAAAACAAACCCAGGTCACCTTATTATGCCATGTACAAGAATAAACTCAAAGTAGATTAAAGACTTAAACATAAGACCCCAAACCATAAAGCTCCCAAAAGAAAATATAGGCAGCAAAATCTCTGACATTTCTCTTAGCAATATTTTTTTTTCTGATATATCTCCTTGGGTAAGAGAAACAAAAGAAAAAAAAATAAACAACTGGAATTACATCAAACTAAAATGTTTTTACACAGCAAAGGAAACCACCAACAAAACTAAAAAAAAAAAACACTGAATGGGAGAAGATGTTTACTGATGAAACATCTGATAAGGGGTTAATATCCAAAATTTATAAATAACTCAAACAACTCAACAACAAAATACCAAGCAATCCAATTAAAAAATGAGCAAAGGATCTGAATAGACACTTCTCTAACAATGGCCAATAGTCACATGAAAAGATGCTCAATGTCACTAATCATCAGAGAAATGCAAATGAAAACCACAATGAGATATCGCCTTACACCTGTCAGGATGGCTGTCATTAATAAATCCACATACAAGTGGCGGTGAGGATGTGGAGAAAGAGGAACCCTTTTTCACTGTTGGTGGGAATGCAGACTGGTGCAGCCACTGTGAAAGGCAGTGTGGAGGACCCTCAAAAATGAAAAATAGCATTGTTTATGAATCATTCCATTTCTGGGTATATATTCAAAGAGACTTAAAACACTAATTTGAAAGGATATATGCACCCCTATGTTAACTGCAGTGTTATTTACAATAGTCAAGATATGGAAGAAACCCAAGCTCCCATCAAGAGATGAGTAGATAAAAAAAGTGGTAGTACCTATATACAAAAAATATTACTCAGCTATAAAAAGAATGAAATCTTACCATTTGTGACAGTATGGGTAGACCTAGAGGTTATTATGCTTAGTGAAATAAGTCAGTCAGAGAAAGGTACCATATGATTTCACATATATGTGGAATCTTGGGAACAAAATAAACAAACAAACAGAACTGAAACAGACTCATAGATGCAGAGAACAGACAGATGGTTTGCCAGATGGGAGGGTGGTAGGGGGACTGGGTGGAAAATACAAAGGGATTAATAAATATGAATTGGTAAAAAATAGTCATAAGGAATGTAAAGTACCGCATAAAGAATACAGTCAATAATGTAGTAACTTTGTATGGTGCCAGATGGGAACTTGAAATATCAGAAGGAACACTTTGTAAAGTATATAATTGTCTAAGCACTATGTGTACACCTGAAACTAATACAAAATAATATCAGTATAAACTGTAATTGAAAAATAAAATTAAAAAAGAAATTCTTTCCTGAGATGCTTCTTGTTTTTCTTGACCCGTTGAGCAGTCACCCTCCATCCCCATCCTCCCAGCCCATGGCAACCACGTCTCTGCTTTCTGTCTCTATGAATTTGCCTATTTTAGGTATTTCATGTGAGTGGAATTAGCCTGTGTGTGTCCTTTCGTGAGTGGCTTGTTTCATTTAGCATAAGGTTTTCAAGGTTCTTCCATGTTAAGCATGTATCTTGTCTATGGCTAAATAATAGTCCATTGTATGGATATACCACATTTTGTTCAAATGTTGATGGACACGTGGGTTGTTTCCTCCTTTTGACTACTGCAAACAGTGCTGCTGCGGACATGCATGTGCAAGGGTTAAGACCTGATTTCAATTCTTTTGGGTACATCCCTAGGAGCGGAAACGCTGGGTCACATTGTATTCCTGTCTTTTGTGAGCCACTTCGTTTTTCAGGAAGTAGAAGGTGTATATGGTATGTCCTGTAGTCCCTTATCATTTACAAACTTGACTCATTTATTTTTCCTGCTTGGAAGAAAGCCTCAATATCTAAAATGTGAAGTTATATGCAATTTTTTCTGGGGCGCAAACATGAATCAAAAGCACTATAAGATGAGCACAAGGGAGCAAATCCCTTCCAGCCAGTGCAGGAGGCTGGCTGGGTCCAGTTCCGAGCTCAACCCCAGCACAGTGGGTTTTGGGTTTTCTGTGCCCCCGGAGGATGCTGGAAATGACTGTGAAGTAATAACATTTTCATTTCTTCATTTAAAAAATGCCAAGTATGTTAGGGAGCCACTGAATGTTACAAAACAAAACATGGTTAATCCGTGCTGTGTAGATATACGCAGAAGAAATGCTTAACTCCCCTTAGAGAAAGGAATTCATTAGAACGTAGGTGACTCAGAAGATCTCATTGAGCAGACAACCTGTACTAACCCTTCCAGTGTCCTGTCATTTTCACTGACTCATAGGGCTTTCATCTGTGTCAGTGAGTAACAGGTTAGAGCAGAAATACAAGGATTACTAAATACTTTCTGCTTGTTAAGTGTCTCTCTCTAGGGCTTGAAGAATGTTTAACTACTATAAATACTCCTTTGCCAATGGTAGAAAAGGGAGTTGGGAAACCTTATCTGGTGTAAAAACACCCAAACTTGTAGAAGATTTTTATGAGTTTATTTGAGCCAAACTGACGTCAATTGCCAGGAAGTAAAATCTCAATGGATTGAGAAAATGCTCTGAAGAGTGGCAATTTTGCAGCTTATTCTATACATTAAAATCAAAGGAGGAAATGTAAGGGGGTTACAGGAAATCCATTGGTGATAGATTAGGGTGGTGGGAGAAAGCAAAGTGGGGAAATCTCTGAGATTGGATAAAAAGTAAAAGGAAGAGACACATACTTCTTTTACATAGATAGTACAGGATAGATAATAATTAACATTTACAGCTTTTTTTTTATGGTATTCGGGGGAAACAAGGTAACAATGACGGGTACTTGAGTCTCTTCTCTGGTGCAGAGGGTGTGGCCTGAGGGGTCTGGAAAAGGAAATCACTCTGACATTTGAAAGGTATGTTATCTTAGATGCAAAAGGACAACAGACAGGCTCACTTAAGTAAACACTGACCTTTGTCAAGGAAGCTACAGGCCTAGGACGTGACTACCCTCAGGACCCTCTTTTACTTAGAAATTTTTATGTTCAGACCTTTGTATGTGGTTACTTTTAGGTCCCTGAGTTTGTAGGACCCACCCTGCTGGCGTTCCGTTCCTTGAGTTTGTCAGGTTTAGTATGTGGACGTTTTAGTCCACAATTGAGTATAACTTTTAGAAAAACAGAAATAAGTAACTGACAATGCTCAAAGCTTTAGAATTAGTCAACAGAAACTCTAAAATCACACAGCAAGTCTTTTCTCCTGGAGTCCTACATCTTAACTAGAGCATGACTCTCTGGGTGACCAGAAAGCGAGCCCAGTCCCATGCTGTGGATTTTATCAGCCTTTGGTAATATCACTTCCCCACTGTGATTTATGAAATCTTTCCTTTCTTGTAGAAAATGATCTAGAAATGTCCTGAAAAACAGCTAGAAAGATCAACTAGCCTCATTTTAATTCTAACAGGTTTTCTCAAATTTCATTTTACAGCTTTTAGGAAAAAGTATACCAACTGTCTAAGTCATACCACCAGCCTTCTGGAAATCCAGCCACACTGGGATTGAGAAAGCAAATAACCCCGGCACTGGGCTGAACTGGGTAGCTGACCCATAGTCTCATAGGCTACGTGAGCCTTTAAATGTGTTGAAATTAGCAGGAGCAGGGTTGGGGAATAACTTTCCAAATGTGAGGGTAAGACCTAAAATAAACGTTTAATGTACTATTTTATTAAGCTAGGTAGGTTGGCCACAGGGTAAAGGTCTAAAAATGGTTATTTGAGAAACTGTCTTTCCTTTAATTAAAGATTGCAATCAAGCTGCTTTACACTCTTTTGGTGAGATTCCCTCACCGTTGTGAGGGTTGGGGGTGAAAATCACTTCATATTCATGTTTTCTACCTTTTAAGGTTATCGCTTTTCTTCACCAGTGAAAGAATCTGTTGTGCTGTTTCCAGGGCCAGCTATCATTGTCAGGGAGTGTGAGCACA